GATTGTGTGATGAATTGACATATTTTCTGGAAGAAATAATCATAATGTTATATTAAAAAATCTATAAATTGGCCTTGCATGTACATATTCTAAAAAGACTTTTGGTGGGAAGAGAACCTCCCGAAAATCTACCTCTCAACATGTATGATTCCTGATTTTTGCGCTCGTTCATAACCCTCCAACTAAAATGATGACTTGATCTCTAGATATGACCTAGTTTATTGAGAAATAAATAACTCCTGCAAAAGGTTCCTCTTCCAGCTTCACGTTGAGTTCGAATGAATTAACCGACAACCATACAAATAATCTCATAATACATGCTAAATGTTTTTTTTTTCATTGACCTAAGTTAGCTTATTTGGATACTTCCACTTCATTCTCTAGCTCCCTCCTCAAAATGCAAACAAAAAGAAACTTGGGCTTAAATCTTACTCTTACTCGAGTTAAAACTTCTATGTGTTAACACCAACTATCGCTAGACACTACAATCAACCAATGTTAGCCCATCATCATCATCATTTTATGCTGGTTTATTATATTCATTTGGTACCCATCAACTACAAACCTTTAACACAAGCCTTCCAAATCCTACCCTCTCCTTTGATAAAGGCAATGATTGATCCACATTGCATGAAAGCAACTAATCATTGACATTAATTTTGATTGATCGTGTCACCTAATACAAACTAATGAAAGTTATTTAACATTCATTAGCTATTACCATATGATGCTAGCATTTCTTGGTGCCTAATCTCTTGCTCTTTAAAGAGAATAATCAGATTGCCCAACATCGATCAACCTGTAACATTCATTTTTTATTGTCATTCGACGCATACCGTTAAGTCATGTTTGATATCTAACACAATTCTTCTCCACTATCCAAATATCCTCTCTTAAGGATAATGATTGGGTCAAATAGGTAAGCATCGCATAGCTTCCAAAAATTTTGCTGAAGCCTATAATTGATCGACATTTGACACCTACCAATCACACAATCTCCCATGATCAATTTTATCGTATGTCATCATCTAATAACGACCCATATGCCATGCTGTACCTTTTTTTATCACTATGATAATTGTTTTCTTTGAATTCATATATTTTAGTTCTTAGGTGATACTTTCAACTTATTATATATATATACGACCTACATTCAACACTAAAATGATAGTGCTCTAAAAACTAAATCACTCAATGAAAACAATCTGCTCATGCCAAGACTTCCCTCAACCGCCCCATACAATAAGAATTAAAATAAAGAAAATAAATAAAAATAATATCTAATATAATATTGCAATCTATCTATATGAACAAAATGGCTTTATTATTTCTCAAATTTTTGACATGTGGCATTGTGATTTGTAAGAAATGTTTCTCTGATTTAATTTTTTGTAAAAAATTTTACATTATTTTATTTTGATATAATAAATCACAATATTATTATATGTATAATTTTAAGATTATCATTAACATCTATTTGACAGAGACTATTTCACCTAAAAATAATAATTTATCTAACAAATAATATTATTTCTTATTTTGAATAGGTTGTATAGATCATTTAGCCTGTCATCAAAATTAAAAAGATTAAAATTGGTCAAAGCCTCAAAGAAAATAGATTAATTGGAAGCTTATTTCTAGTAATTAACGCATATATTGTATTAAATTAATGAAACAGTTTGAGATAAAATTTTAATTATTTTAATTTTTAAATTGCTGTAATATTTTTATTTATTTATTATTTTTAAGAAATAAAAAAAATGTGATAGAAGATGATGTTTATAATCAGATTGTTAATTAATATGTACTAATTGCAAAAAAAAATATTTATTTTTCAAAAAAAATATTTGGAATTGAAACATAATTTATGAATCAAATCATGAGTTAATAAATCAAATTTAAGTCTATTTTGATTGGACTTATTTGCTTGTGAGCAATTTTAAAAGAATATTATAATAAATCTAATTGAATATATAAAAAATTCAAATATTCAGAAATAGAATTATTAAATATCAAAACTTTTTTGTACATCTTAAATATTTAGAAGTATTTTTATTATTTTCTCTTCAAACTTAAATATTTTAGTAATAAGTTAATAAAAAAATTTTTTAATTTTTTTTATAATGATGAATGATAAATCTTAAAGTTTACGACTCGAACCATAATCATGAATGAAATTATCTTTCCTAATTTTTCATTAAATAGAACTTTTCTTTTTTATAATCAATAAAATAATTAACTCAAATTTAATTAATTAATCAAATTTAAACCCAAATTTAAGATTACTCTAACAAGATTCTACATATTTACACACACCACCATTACATTTAAAATTTATAGGAAGCAATCCTAAGCCCTTACAATTGAATTTTAAGCTCTAAATTTGCAATAATTCGAACCTTTTATCATCTATTTGCACAAATCTTAAAGCAAAATAAAAAAAATTATCGTGATATTCTCACTAAAATATGATATTAAAATTTGTGCTAATACTCATTTTAAAATAATTTAAAATCATAAATAATTATTTGAATCAAAATTTTAATCATGATACATGTATAATTTATTTTCCAAAATTAATCTGATCCAACGGTCATACATCAATCATATTATTTTTTGTTAGTCGGGCGTTTTCCGGTCAACTTCCACTCTTGAAGCCGGCCGCCAATGCTTTCGCCGTGCGAATTGGAATTATTAAAAAAACTTTTTTTTTGTCTTTTTATATTATAAAAAATAATTAAAAATTAGCATTTCATGATACATTTGGTGGAACAATTATTACGTCCTCTGACCTGACGTAGAGGTACGTTCGGCCGCCAATAACATATCGCCACGTGTTCTTACTCTTTACCGCGCGGCCCGACGACTTGACCCGGAGCGGAACCCAGGAATGCTTTATTTTTTTGCTCAGGATTTGCTCGGGATTTGCTCAGGATTTGCTAGAAAAAACTAGGTACAACTCAGTATTTGCTCAGGATTTGCTCGGTATTGATAGGGATTTGCTCGGTAGTGCTAGGTATTTGCTCGGTATTGCTAGAAAAATCTAGGTACAACTCGGTACAACTCAGTATTTGCTCAGGAGTTGCTTGGTATTGCTAGGGATTTGCTCGGTAGTGCTAGGTATTTGCTCGGTATTGCTAGAAAAATCTAGGTACAACTCAGTATTTGCTCAGGATTTGCTTGGTATTGCTAGGGATTTGCTCGGCGGTACAACTCAGTATTTGCTCGGTATTGCTAGAAAAAACTCGGTACTCGGTACTCGGTACTCGGTACTCGGTACTCGGTAC